CTATCCCTGGCTCGCCAGAGATCATCGATCAGTGCAACCAAAGCAGTTTCCATGCTGTAACCAGGCCTGAAACCCGAGACTGGACGATAGTTGCTCAAAATGGCTGAGTCCAGAGATGGTTTCTTCAGCAGGGGTCTCACCACCGCACCCTTTAGGAGGAGCGGGAAGATTCCCTCCCGGAGAGAGGTGTTCACTATCGTCCGGATCCAGCCGCGTGTCACCTCCCTTCTGGTCGAGACCAGCCCAGAGGGGCACTTGTCCAGTATACAAGTGGGGGCACTCACCGCTCCCATGGCCTTGTCCACTTCCTCAGGAGAGACAAGTTGAAACTCAATCCATGAAGTATGCTCCTTCTATAATCACAATTTTCTGACAGTGCTTGAGATACACTTTCAAAATTACAAATAATTCACTAGCACCAAAATACTTGCAGGATCCTGGAGAACAGGATGTAGAAGAGGAACAGGATTACATAATAGCATATCTTCAGATCTTATGACAACATCAATACAGAGATTGCTTACCTGAGCGTTAAGTCCTAGTGTTTTTACAATTCTGGTTATTGCTTGCAGTTAAAACAATGATTTAATGTTGCCATGCATTCAATAAAGTGAGTTCTACATATTGACTGTATGAAACAGTGACCAATTTTAATTGACTCACAATTGGCTGAGTTTGTATATTACGCTAACACATAGGTTATATTTTGTAAACTACAGTGCTTGTGTTCACCCATAGCTAAGCAAAAAATAAAAACAAGACAAACCACATTAATTTTATTGCAGGTGGAGAATTATTTTCTCTGTTTCTGTTAAGAACCAATACTTTGATCAATCTCTTCTAATTCACAGGCAATATTTCAGATATGTGTGAATATTTATATTGCAGGATGAAGAAAGAACAGAACCAATTAGTTTCACTCTACTGACACAATGTTTCAATCATTAGAAGATGAAGTAGTCACCTATGATTCCTAATTCTTTCTTCTGTGTAATTATGATACAGTATATGACCGGCAATACATGCATTAAAAGAAAAAATATTGACAGGATTGAGCCTTGACATATTAAAGACAATTATAATAGTGCTTTGTTGTTGAACTGGTCATGTAATTTATGGGAACGAGTGGCAAAGTATAATTTACCTTAGATGTTAAAGACAGAAAAAATGTATTTTGCATCTGTCTAATAGCACAATGTCTTTTTTGTTGCTGTTGAATCAGGTATCAACATCTGGAGACAATACTGTTGAGTGCCAACTTGAAACGCATAACAACAAGATGGTTACATTTAAATTTGATGTTGATGGAGATGCTCCAGAGGACATAGCTGATTACATGGCAAGTTACATATGCCTTACTTCAAAGTAGATAATTCCTTACTAATGGCATTCAAACCTCTTAATTTTTTTTAGATGCTGCATAGTTCAAATGCAAGTACCCTTTTTCTTCATGATATTTCACAAGTTATATAGAGCTTCCTAAAGCCAAATCTTAGTTTTGCAGCTCATATGCCTACATTTGATTTATTTAAGAATTAATTTTGATACTGGTTTTGGGGTAAGAGTATTAAAATGAAGAGGATTTGGGGCTGTTCAAGGAATGTCTGAGAATAAAGGCTAGAAATATATAACTGCACTTTACTTTTGGAAATATCACATTTGGAATCTCTGAAAGTTGTTAGATTCCTTTAGACTGGTAATATAATTTATATTTTAGTCCTAAATATTTTATTATTTGTTAAATGTATTCATCACTCATCCCGCCATGGGGCTATTCTAGGGGCAGGGAGGAGCTTACAACAGTTAAAATGAGATTTTTAAAAATTAAACGATAGCAAAGTAATGAAATAATAAAATAAAGAAGGAAACTACAATAAAATGAATTTTAAAAAAGGAGGAGGAGCAGGAAGCATGGGGGGGGGAATATGAGCTCAGTTAATTAGTCTAGCAGCCACCTCTAGTTGAAGTACTCCCCCATTGGGTCTGCAAGCCAGCTGGCAAAGCTAGCTTTTCAGGCCCTTGGTGGAAGGAGAGTGGTGGCAAACCTCATCCCATGGGGGTGGGCAGGTTGTTCCCCCTCAGTGCTACAGTAGAGAAAGCCTTTTTCCTGGATCCTGCTAGTCGAAGTTCCATGACCTACTGGCATGAATACCTGAGAGTATATTACCTGGGTGTAGGAGACAGGAGGAGAAAAGAAACAGTAGAAAAACATTTAAAGAGTGGTCTACGTTTAAATTAGCAGAAGGAGATTTTGAAAGCATATACATGTCATATCTGAAAGCTAACTTTGCATCATGGACCTTATTCATTTTATTAGAAACTACTTCATCACATGGGATGTACTTTCAGGTGATGATTCATAGAATTATATCTTTTACACCATACTATAGAATTATTATACCAAACGTACTCATCATCTGTGAGGAAATAGTATAAGGGTATTGCTTCAAATTAAGTACATTCTATGATCAATTGATTAATTAGCTCATTTGAAATTTTGAGAACACTTAACAGATATTCACAAAATTGGCAATATTGGTGGACAAGGCTAATCACAAACCAAACATTCATCTGGAGACAAGTAGATGTTGCTGCTTACCATAATTCCAGGCCCCTAGATGATGCCCAGGGATATTTGTAAAAATAAAAAATGATGTCAGAGATTAGTATTTTGCTTTGTAAGAAAGTAAAAAGATGGATATGAAGCCAGATAATATTAATATTTCAAAAACTGAGGTATTTCCACTAGTACAAAATATAATAGAAGAACTGGACACTGGCATCATGTGAGAAGAGTTTACATTTCATAAAGGAACACAATACAGCATTATTGGGAAATAAAGCTTCAATATTTTTTTTAGAATACTTTTTTCAAGATTAATGTTCTTTTCAACATATTTTGTAATAACTCTGAATATTTGGAATGTGAATATTTATGGGTGAGATCTAATTTTCTACAGCCTATTGGAATGGGTGATAGCCAGAATTTGAAGAGCAAAATAAGGTTTGTATCCATATCTTCTATCCTGTTTCTCCCACCCCTCTTCCCTTTCCCACTTACTAGGTTGAAGATAATTTTGTATTGGAAAATGAGAAGGATAAATTTGTTGATGAATTGCGAGCTATTGTTTGCCAGGCTCAAGACATCATTTCTAGTCTTCCTATTGAAGAACGAGCCACTGGCATGGAATCTGCTCCTTCTGATCCAAATAACTGCCAAGTAAGTTAAGCTTCTTTAGTAATGCCAGTTTTCTGGAAAGATGTGTACTTATATTGGGAAACTCCCTTTTTATATTTATCTATTCATTTTTAATTCAGACAGGATCTTCTGAACAAGTTCAGATAAATCCAGCATCTACTCAAAGTGGCAGTAAGTAACTATTTTAAAACATTTAACCCTGCAGGACCAAAGCAACACTCTGAAACTCACAAGAATAAAACCATCCTCATCTAAAAATAAATCTATGGAACACAGTGGATTTTTGGCAAAGGTCTATTCTCAGCTCTTTTCCCTTTTGTCCTTTCAATCCCCTTATGATAGTTTATCTTTGATTCTCTGGACTGCTGCAGACAGTCAGTAGTTGACTCTCTGCAGTAGTCCTGTTCATTTTATGGAATGTTCTAAACATTTTAATGACATCATAGGCTGAAGAATGGTAAATAATGAGCTCCTAATGAGTGTTGCTAAATTAGCATCATTTCTGGAGTTGGCTTGGTGGACCTTTAAGAAAATTTAGAAATATTAGGAGCCCATTTGGTAAAAGCTATGCCTCATAGACAGGTAAGTTGTATTCGCTACCAACTCCTTAAGATTATCCCTGGATTGAAAAAAGGGACTTACAACTGTTTTTCACACTTACAACCATTGCTGCATCCCCATGGTCATGTGACCTAAACTCAGATGCTTGGAAACTGACACATATTTATGATGGTTGCAGTGGCCCCGGGGTCATGTGATCTCCTTTTGCAACCTTTGGACAAGCAAAATCAATGGGGAAGCCAGTTTCACTTAACCACATGTTATTAACTTAAGAACTACAGTGATTCACTTCACAACCATGGCAAGAATGGGGCATTTAACAAATGTCTCACTTAGCAACAAACATTTTAGGCTCACTTGTGGTCGTACGTTGAGGACTATCTATATTAACTAGTGAAAATGTATGTCAAAGCAGCAAAAGACATTGAGTATTACATTTGCATTAAGGATAAAAATGGATGGCAGGGCAAAGTTAATCTTGAAAGGCTAGCAGCAATATTTTGATGAAAGCTCTGATTTCAGATTTCCACACTTGCAAATCCCTGTTGGCTCCTCTGACATTGGCCCAGGCCTGCACAGGACTATGCATCTCAAGAGGTTATCAAAGCTATCAACGACATGAATTTTAAGTACGTGGCCATAATGTGCCCTGAGCTAATCATAAAATGGGTCATAATGCCAGCATTATGCCAACACCAGCAGCTGAATAAAATGTGCCTCCAGCCTTTTGACAAATTTCCTGTGAAAGTTGGCACACACTTAAGGTTTGGCATTATCGCCATTGCTGATAATTCACATCATGGATACCATCGTGCAAGACCTGTATCCTAGTTTCTCCTAGGCCTTGCTCCAGGAGAATGATGTCCTACTCGCAGCTATTACAGAGAGCACTACTGCAGCACTGCAGTGCTGGAATGAACATTTTAGCCAATTTAGTTTGCATTTTAACATCCAGAAAGACAGCAAGGAAGGGAGGGAGGATTGATTCTAATATTCCTTGCCAGTTTCCCCCAAGGAAACTTAATGGAGAAGCCAACAGGAAGTCCAAAGTCACTCATAATCCCACTGCTTTTTAGTCCACCCCTGCTCATTCTGGTTGTCTCTTTAATAAAATATCTCTGAAACGAGGACCCAATGGATTATGGGTTGTCTAGGGTGAAATATTTATTGTGATCCTTTATATAATACAAAATCAGTCTGTTTCAAACATGGTTGATTTCATAATTTTGTTACAATAATTGCATTAACAGAACAATAGCAGTTTTATTATTGTTCTCATCTGTTTTTTTGTAATTTTGTAATTTCACATAATTCTAACATGCATGTCTTTTAGGTCCCCAGAGTACTGGAATGTTTATGATTCTGGCCATAATCCAAAGTTCCATAATTCAAACATCATCATATTTTGTTCCAACCTGGTTTTCTGTAGAGCTATTTGGCAATATCTACAGTTCTTTTGGGTTGAACCAGCCAATAAAGCTACTAAATAAATATTAGGATACAACTTGCAGAATTTTCAGCTATTGTGCTGGCTGACAGTTTTGGGAGATAGAATTAGCAGGTTGGGGAAGACTGAGTTGAGTGATAATTAGTTGTGTTTATAAAGCAGAAATCTTATCGTATGTGAAGACAATTGTAAAACATATGGAGCTTTCAAAAGCAAATTATGATTGTTACTTGGTTTGTTTAAATCTTGGTGGAGCTTGATACAACTCCACTACTAATAGAGATAGCCACTAATCCTGCAATCTATGGTGTGAGTAAAAGTTATGGATCTTTTTCTGGGTTAAGTGATTAATGACACAATCAATGTAAATTTTGATAAAATAGAAATATGTAGTGCAAGCCAGATGTGTATCAGAAATCCTTCTCTTGAGAAAGAATAAAACTCTGGATTAAAAAGAAATCTGTTGAATTCATTAATAATCTGAGTATTTTATTGATTACATTTTAGACATCTTTTTTCCTTTGTTGATTTGAGTTTTGTTCTATGGAAATTAAACTCATGATTACTGTCTGATACTTCAGCAGTGCTATTGATTGATTCAGTTGAAATTAAATAATAGTACAAATGAATAAAATTAATTAATACCGAATGGTTCTATTGAAGCAGGATCAATATATCATGTACCAATACATTTAATAAAGATGGTGTGTCACCACACAAAGGACAGGGGTGTTGCATAATGCAAATTTCATACGTATATGCAATTTATGATAAATATGGTGGAAATATGGCCTTGAAAGCATTGTTTTTACTAATGAACATCTTTGAATTTAGGCTTTGGGATAGGGTGGTATCAAGCATCTGTAGAATTTTATCCGATTGTTCCTCCAGATATTCACAACCTGTGATCTCAGTGTTGTATTGTTTTCTTGCAGTTAATGTTGTAAATCACCAATAATGAGTTTCTTATGAAGTTAGATGGTCTCTAAATTGAATTAATTAATACATTAACAATGAATAAACAAATGTGTGTCTATTGTCATCCAGAAGATGGATAATTTTGAATAAACAATTTATACAGAAAGGAAAGGAGAAAGAAAGGCTTTTATATTTCATTAGTAGCTTCTAAAGAAACACTACTTTCACATTTAAAAATGCATCTAAATAAGGTTTAAAAAAACCATGTAGGAAGAAAGTCCACTTTTCACACAGTGTCAGAATTAGTATTTACTCCGATGTACACACTTTAATGTTCCCTTATGTCTATTAACCCTAATCCTAATATTAATCCTAATATTAAGGATTATCACAGGGATTCTAATTAGTTGGATTACAGTGATCCAGGCTTGGTGTGGGGGGAGATTATTCGTGTTCATCAATGTACACATTGGTCATTTTAACTCTTTAAAAACAACTTTTCTTAGGCTCTTGGAACAGCAATTATGAAAATCCAGGAAAAATAAAACTCTTTCCATGTGCTTACTATCCACAAGTGTGACATGAACGCCCATGCATATTGGAAATCATTTTTTTCGCCTTCAAATCCAGATCTCTGGATAGCTCTACTGATTGTCATATTATTTTACTTCTAAGATTCCTTTTTTTTTTTGCAACAGCAGTGCTGTTTTTGTAATTATCTAAACAATGAAGTAATCTCCCCTTTTTGCTTCTCTCTCCCCTTTTTAGGTGATGCTGCTCCCCAGTCATCCCCTGTTGGCCGCTGGAGGTTTTGCATCAACCAAACAATAAAGAACAGAGACACCCAGGCATCTTATATCCCAGTACAGTCAATGAAAACTATTCAAGGATGTCAGACAACAGGTGAATACATGGTTTAGTTTTTAAAAAGGTAGATTTTTTCTTTTGGGGTAGTATAATATCTGGGTGATTTTGAAACTGGGCTTTAGTTAAATAAGAGTGGCTCAGATTGCAAAGAATTAGGGGAATGGTTGTGAAGAACAGCAGACCATTTGAGAATCTGCATTTACTTGAAAGGAAGGCAATATGAATTTGAAACCATGCCCCATCCCTCAGAAGATTAAACAAATTTACAAAAAGTCTTATTTGCCCTGTGATCGCATTCCCATTTTGAAAGCAAATTATTGGGAGGGGGAGGAGAATAATAATAAAGTATTTCGCTATGAAGATATATTCCTATGAATCTCTTCATAGGAAAAATACTTCATTACTTTAGAGATAGCCAATCCAGTTAATAGCGGTTATTTGATCCTTGAGATCCCAGCTTCTTAACACAATGCTAAAGTGATTATGTTCATATTTTGAGTGACTGTTTTCCATTTTATGGATATTTCACACTTTTTATCCTTTTTTTCAGTCACTCTTAAAAAACATATTTGCTTATTTGTTTGTAGCCTTATTGATTCATGCACAATAATTATAGTGACAGAATTAACTTTGCCATTTTTTACTTTCTTTTCTTAGATTAGTATGGTGATGGATAGTCATAAAGAATGACAGCATAAACTATATAAAATCAGCTTTAATACCTGCAGCAAATATTCTTGTTTTAATAGAGAACACAGCATAATCAGCTTCATCCATATTCAGTTCAATACTGAATTTGTGTCATATCACTCCTGATAAAGAAAATTAGTGATTTAATTGGCATTAGGGTTGGGCAAGAAATAAATATATCACTGTCTTATAATAATTAACATTTTACGTATATTTAATAAAACAATAAACTTTCCATCTTAATAAAATGATTTCTTTGGAAATAAGTAAAAAAACAATCATTTTCCCAGACATTAAATATTACTGTTCATAAAATCTTGTTTTCTTCCCCTCCGCTCCCCTCCCCAACCCATCCTTTTAGTTTTTACTGTGCTATTTTTTATTACTTCTAATCCAAACGTCTTAATGAGATGTAGCTTAAAAAATAGATAAATATTTTAAAAGAAAAAAAATCAAGACTATATCACCTCAAACGAAGTTTTTGTTATTTCAATGTTTCTCTCTGGGCTCTTCCTGTGATATATTTTTGCCCTGACTTACCTATCGGTGTTCTTAAATATATTGGGACTGCAATGTCATGAGCCATGCTAACAGAGAATTCTGGGAATCTTGGTTTTCAACATATCTTCAGGATATGTTTCAGATTCATAGGGCTTGATTTCCTAAACAACTCTGAAAATAGTGACATCTGAATTTTTTAAACCATCTCCCCGTTGGTCATAATAATCTTTAAATAACTTTTACTGTGAAATGTTACATTTTAGGCCCCAGATTGCTGAGAGCAATATGCTGACTCTGGAAACCGCTTAGAGAGAGTTGTGAATTTCTATGAAGCGGTATATAAGTCTAAGTGCTATTGCTATTTTAGAAGAGACAGTAGTAGTAACCAACGTGGAGATCGGCTTTTAAAGTTTTATTAATAATATTTTTATTTTTGGGGGAGTTTTATTTTGTCAGCCTCAAGTGTTCATCTGTTTTGTTACAGATTGCATAAAGGAAAGTACAAAAGAAGAGACACCCAAAGATTGTTCACAACCTGTGGACAATCTTAGTAGCCAACATAAGCCTAGCCCTTCTTTCAGTTCAGAGGATTTGACAAGTGACAGTGTGATGTCTGAACCCCAAATTTTGGAACCTGAACATTTAACCCTTTCTCATGAAGCAGAAAGCAGCACGGATAAATTACTATCTGCCTCTACAGGTGACAATACTAGTGCTACTACTTACGATTCAGAGGCTTGGCTGGACTCTTTGCCAGCAGAAACTCAGTCTAATGGAGCTCCCCTATCTTCATATGTACCTCATCCGGCATCTGTTGTGAATGAGTTGAATTTGTCCACAGAAGCCTTTGATTCCACACTAATGTCTTGTCAGACTTTGATCACTGAGGAAGCAGAACATGTAATAAATGCAGAGCAAGCAGCTGCTTTGGCGCAGACTCCGAGTCAGGAAGGAATTTCCTCCACATCCATTCTGGAATCAGACAGTGAGGGCCCCCCTAAGATGGATTTTGTTGACAACAACATCAAAACTCTGGATGAAAAGCTGCGGACACTTCTGTATCAGGAGCACAGCTTGTCAGGCACTTCTCCTGAGAGCCAAAAAGACACACAGAGTGCAGCGGAGTCTCCATTTTCCTCATCTGCTGAAGATACTTTTCCCTGCCCGGGACATTCTGAAACACAAGACACTAATTCCCCCCAAGAGACCGATCCCCAAGCTGCTCTCATTCTATCCGCAAGTCATCCTGATAGCTTGCCAGTGGTGAGACAAGAGGCCATGGTTATTACCTCTGCTCCCAGGGATCTCTGCAGTCATGTGAGTATTGACAGGGTTGGTAAGGGCTAAAAATTGTTTTGCCCACTAAAGAAATACAGAATATTGCTGAATGACTGTATAAACTCATCTCCCTCATTGATCCTGGCAAATGAAAGGTAAGCCTTGACTCCAAACAGATGGTTCCAACATATTTTTTCCCTACTCATCAATTTTGTAGTGTGGTTTTTGAATGGGAACAGAAATCTGTGTGTGAAATCAGGAAATCATGGGGAGCAGAGATCTGCTTATATGTAAAATTAAACAGGAAATTGATTTAATAAATGAATTAAATGGGTTTTAAAATTAGTTTTTAAGCATTCCTCATTTTTTTTCACTTAACCAATTAAGATTCTCAGGAATTGAACATTCAGATTTGTTTAGAGATTTGCTGATGTAACATTAAGTAAGGAGGCGATCTTTAATGCATCTGAAGCTCAAGTGGTGTGAAGTATCCTCATCCTCTTATTCAGATATTGTTTCTTTTCTACTTGCTCCCCTGCTCCCCTTGTTTTGTTCAGGAGATGTCCTTGGAGGCTTCATTTCCTGAGAATCCTGTGGCTTGTCCTGCTTCAGAATCAAGTGGTGGAGCTGTGCACCTGCATGCAGGAGGTGGATATTTTGGCCTAAGCTTTACTTGCCCTAGTCTCAAAAACCCTATTAGCAAGAAATCCTGGACTCGCAAATTAAAAAGCTGGGCATACAGGCTACGGCAGACCAGCTTTTTCAAGAAATCAAAAGTCCGGCAAGGTAGTGTGCTTACAGTCAGGGATCTAGACTAGGTAACATCTGTTTTGATTTCTTTAAGTATGTTTATCTTTCCTCCTCCTCTTCCTCCTTTTTTTTTAAAAAGAAAAATTGGGCATTTCCTGCAAATCCATATATCCCTGTGTAACATTTCATCTGTCACCACTTTGTTTTCCTGTTTGATTAACCAGTTTTTTTCATTCCACATAGAAGCATAGGTCTTGGGATATTTTTAAAAAAAAGCCTACATGTATACCACAATCTTATTTTATAATGTCGTACTGGTTGTTAGTGTTCACATGGTCACGGATTTACCTGACCTGCTTTGTTTTTCCTTTGTGTTTGTCCCCCCACCCCTTTTAAAAAATCACAGCAGAGGAGATGACTGCTGATGTTGCTTCTGACTGGATTTCTCTTTCTGAGCAAGCAACCAGAGAGAATAAAGCATTGGGTCATTCTAAATCTGGAGCTGGATCATTCCAGCGAGGCAGATTTCAGGTAAACATAATTTCATTCATTCATTCCTACTCAAATATGTCCCATCCAACAATGATTTATTATTGGGGGATCAAAAATAATTTATTGTTGATATGTTGAATAAAGGATGTATGTTCTGCAACAATTCTTGTTGGCTTTTCAGCAAGTGCATAGCTGTAATAATTACTGGAGGTATTGAGTTAGGCCCCAACTGGTTTACCTCCTAATGTGTTGACTTCAATTCTCATATTTGACGATTGTGATAATTGAAAACCATACACTTGGAAATTGCTAAAGTTAGGAATCACTGTTCTAGGTGGCATATATTTTAAGTAATTACCTTTCACTTGGGCAAAAGGTAAAATAACTAAAGCTCAGGTTTTTGGTTATAGCTTTATTGAAATGATGATAACTGGTTTATAGTTTTTTGATGTATTACGAGAAGCAGAGGAGTATCATTTAATGCATGTTTCATTGCTAGCTCTTCTGTATTACTACAGAATTTGAGATGCAGTATTTTGATCAGGTTTATATAGTAACCCAAACTTGTAGCTGTAAGCTACAAGGTTGCATATGAAACATTGATTCAAATTTGGAGAGGTTTCTTTGAGTATAAAACTGTTTCTTGAAACAATTGTTTCAAACTCAAAACAGGACACTTCAAATTCAAATTCAGGGTTGTCTGAAAAAAATGTATATCGTCTCTGTGTTATATATCTATTATGAGCCAATTAACTAAAATAAAAACAAAATGAACCTCCAAAAAACATAATCTGAGTCGGTTTTAAGTACAACCCAGGCAAAGTAATCAATCTTTTCTAATAAACATCGGATTCAGCACATTTATTAAGGGTTGTTTCTTGCAATTCGTTATTCATATTTTCTGGTATTTCTATCTCCCTCCCTGCTTCCTCCCTCCATTTTCTCTATCTGCTTCTCATTTGCCATTTTGAAGAAAATTTCCTAGCTTAGTAATTAGGCTTAGAAAAAGGTCCCTTTGCATCCAAGGGAGTTCCCCCCCCCTCCTAATTGCTGCAGTTAGGAGATGATTCTCATCAGTGTCACAGGATGCAGGAATATTTAAATTATCTCCTCCCCCCTGCACACACCATGAATTGTGTTTAGGAAAAGAACAGCAGTTATCTTTGTTTTTTTTTTTTTTAAAAAAGGGCTTACAGAAGAAGAAAATGGGTCAAGAAGATGAAGTTATAATTCATATTTGAATCTACTGCAGAGTGGAACTTTCCTATTTTTGGCATTGCCCATCAAAAAATGGGAAGCCTCAAGTAGAAGGAACAAATTTTGGGAATAATACATTTATGCCTTAGAATAGATGAATCCTCAGTTTGTCTTTTTAAATTTAAATAAAAGATGCTTATCCAGTTGTCACCAAAGACAGAGATGCTGGTTCTGACAGTGTCTATATGATTCCATAACAATAGGATGAAAGGACACTGTTATATGTTACAGCAGAATATATATAACTATATCTATATCTTGTATGGTACTTTATAACCTATGATGGCTCTTTTGCCTCTTTAGCAGAGATGTTTCACAGTACTCCTTATATTTTATTTGGAGATGCTAGGAGTATAAGTTAGACTTTTGGCTCATCTACAGTACTCCTCAATTGTAACTCCTTCCCAATCAGTGTCAATACTTTGTTCTAAATAATCTGCAATAGGCTTTGGAGGGCAAATGACAAAAATAAGATAATGCAATCATACCATAAACTCTGCTCCTCTTATATGTGTGTTGTGATGCATCTAATTATTGATATATGATAGGAAAAGAGATGAGTGATTGTATCTCACTCTATCTAAATCTGTTTTAGAAACTAGGGTTTTAGTTTCTTCAAGTCTTTGTTATCTGGCTTTGCAGACGAAGAAAATTTTGACTTTGAAACTAGTCCTTAGTTTTAATGCAATACACATTATTGATATCTCCTGAGGAATGATGTATGTGTGAGATTCATGCAAATTTCTACCTGCAAATTTGTGTAGAAATAAAATATTGCTTCAATGAACTCCAGTTTATATTACAATTTGTTTACATATAGCAAAATAGTTAACTCAGATAATATTTACTTATTTCTTCAATTTATATGGCTGGCTATTTCAAATATATGGCTCTGGATGGCTAACAACGAATAAAAATAAGATTAAAAACATTATAACAAAGTAATAGATCCATATATGCACATATCAACAGAGCAGCAAAAATAAAAAGCCAAACAATAGCAATTAACAGAGCCATGATATGGACTCAAATACACATTCAGACCCCCAGGCTTAGTTACAAAGTCAGGTCTTCAAGGCCTCACAAAAGCCAGTAGTGTCAGGTCAAGTCTGGTCTTCATGGGAATGATGGTCCAGAGGGTAGGTGCCACAACAGAAAAAAACTCTTCCTGAGTACTGCTAGGCAACATTTCCTAATAGATGGGACCCAGAGCCTGCCTCTCCTGCCAGATCTAACAGGATAGGTAGATCATGGGAAAGAGAAAGAAGGTTCTGCAAGTACCCCTGCCCAATGCCTAGCTATATAGATAACTACGAATAGCATGAATTGAATCTGAAAGCATAATGACAACCAATGAAGTTTGCAAAACAGAGGTGTCAGATGCATGAAATGAAAGGCAGCTGTCACTGCTTGCGCTGCTGCATTCTGTACCATTTGTAGCTTCTGAATCTTCTCCAGGGACAGCCCCATGTAATGCACAGTTCCACCTGGAAGTGATCAAGGCATGAATTATTATAAGCAGAACCTCCCAGTCCAGGAATGGATGTAATTGGTGTACAAAATATAATTGTGGAAAAGCCTTTCCATCTATGCCTGCCTGTTCTTAGAGCAGGAGCCAGGAGTCCCAGAGGTTTCCCAAATTGTTCACAGATTCCACCTGAAGTAGTGCAAGCCCATCCAGAGCTAAAAATGGGGGGCCCTTGGAACCAGTGGCTCCTAAAACCTAGAGCCACTTGGCCTTGCTAGGGTTGAGTTGAAGCCTGTTTTTCCTCATCTAGACTCAAAAATATAGACACCGGAATAGAACATTAATGGCATCACTCAGACAAGCCAGGGTGGAAATATAAAACTGAGTTTCATCTGATCTCTCACCCTGGACTTTTGGATTATCCTCCATGTAGATATTTAGGAGGAGAAGAGAGAGAACTGAGCCCTGTGGCATCTTACAAACTAGGGGCCACAGGCTGGACCTCTCCCTCCTCCTGATCAATACCATTGGAACTAATCCTGGAGGAAAGAGGAGAGCCAGCAATAGAGTGTTGCCCACTTTCAATCTGCTGAACCTAGGCCAGAAGAAGACTGTGGTGAAGAGTGAGAAGCAAAGTCAATTGCAGGAAGCTAGATTTGCTTAATGAGCCATGGCACAAAAGGTTGTAAAATCAGGTGCAACTCAACAACCACATTGCTTAGTGACTGAAGTTCCAGTCCCAATTGTGATTGTAAGTCGAGGACTGCTAATAAATACATTGGAGCAGATTTATGTCTCTACTGTTCCTTATGTTCTTTCATACAACTGAAATTATTTCATGTTCAAGATGGCTGCTCAAATACATACTGTATTTCTTCCTGCTGTCCAATGTACTTGTTAATTGAGTATTTGTACCTAGATTACATTACTCAGATGTAATCCCTTATTTATTGTCCACAAAGTAAATCAGGAGACTTCTATGTGCTGCTTTGTGTAGAGTTAAGTACTGGACCATTAATTTGTTTTGGCAACTGGGGAAATCTTCTATTTGAAAGTCTTTCAATTACAGAATTGGCTTAGATATTTCATATATAATTCTAATGTACAGATAGTCCAACCACAGTTGGGACCAGAATTTTCATTGCTAATTGGGAAAGTAGTTCTTGGATTTTTCCCCATTCCCTGTTTTTCCTTTTTTGCCATCATTTTCTGTACAGCTCTTTCTGTTCTTTGCTGCAGGAGCATTTTGCTGTCATCCAGCATCTCTTTGACGATGAATGGCATTCAGATGTCTATGACATGGTCTTTGGGCTCTAAATTGCTCTAAGTAATTTCCTCCTCCCTTCTTCCTCAGTCTATTGCAGAAAACAATTGTTTTCTTCTTCATTACATGGTGGCAGATAGTTTAGTTTGAAGGCTTTTGGGGGGAGGCTTTATAGAATATATTGACACTCATGAATTAAATGTATTTTTAAAGGAATATATCAAAGATTATAAAGTCATGATTTTTAAAATTATTACACTCTGTAGCTTTTTCTTCGTTGTGGTCTAATCCTCATACATATTTTACAGGGTCATAGAATATGGTTTTTTCTCCCCCCCCCTTTTTTTTTTTGAATGGCTTTTTGGCTATAGAATTCAGGTGTGGTTTATATAATTGTAGTTCAAGTCTGAGTTTACATGGCCTGTCATGCTGTTTTTCTGTTTTTTGAATGGGATGCATTTTTTCTCTCGTTCAAAATATATTTTAATCTGTCTTGGATGAACAATAAATGTTGAATATAGTATGTTTATAATATTTTACTTAAATTTATTTACTTTGATTTACATTGTTTTAAATATATGGCTATTCATTTAAGGCATTTTGAAGAGAAAGGTTTACAATTTAAGTGAATGAAATAAAATATCTGCCTCCTTGAAGTTTCTACTCATTCTTAGTTCCTTTTAATTCCACCTACCAAGGGACAGATGATTAAATAACATAATGTTGAAGACAAGTAATTCTTTAAATGTGCATAATGAAATGCATATATTATTTATGCCCTGTGAGTCTTAAATCCTTTTCAATAGTGAAGCAGCTCATTTTAAGCTTCATTTTTGTAGAACTCTACTGAATTAAACCTTCCTTTCTTCTCTGTCTTTTCCCCCCTCCTCAGGTCATCACAGTTCCACAACAGTTGTCCTCAGGTGTTTCAGAAAGTGAACTCTCTGAGATGTCTCCTTCCTTGGAGCTTGGAACAGAAGAAGGCTGTCCCAGAGGAAGAGAAATGGCTACCCTCCCCAGTGCCATGGGTGAAACAGATGCATGTTGCACCACCTTTGAACAGCAGGAAGTGGAAGAGACCTCTGCTACTGCAAGCCGTGTGCAGTCCTGCTCAGAGCCATGGTCTAAAGGGGATGTGATCCAGAAGCAACATAGCTCTGACAGTGAACTTTCTGCACCCATGGGTGGAGGCAGCCTAGAAGGCTGGGAGTCAAACCAGCAGTCTCAAGAGGAAAGGGGCGGCACCCACCCAAAGAGGCGTAGTTCTCTTTTTTACTCGGCATCTTCTCCAATGAGTAGTGATGATGAATCTGAAATTGAAGATGAGGACCTGAAATTGGAGCTACAGCGTTTGCGGGAAAAGTAAGGGCACTAAGATTGAGTCTTATACTATAAAGATTTAACATTGTGTCTCATCCCAGTGAATTACTAGATTGTGAAAAGAGTGGGATACGGGACAATTATATTTTTTGCTCTAAGCTATTTCTTGTGGTTTCTGTTTCGGGATAGACTTTGTCTGACAGAACTTTTATTTTGTTAGTCCAAAATGATTCTTTTTGTTCTCTATTATAATTTATTATGAATTACCTATTATCATGAAGTTGTCTGCCTTTAATGGTCAGTCGTAAGTTATGTATCAATTACTCAACTGAATTTACGTAAGTTTGTGCAAAAATGAATCAGTACATTTAAAAGGAAAAACATTATTTTAAAACGCTACCTGTGCATCAAGACAAGTATGTGTGAAAGAAACCACAGTTACTTTTCTGTGAGGGAGTGTGTCAGCCATAGAGTATTTCTTACAAAGAATTTTAATCAAACTGGAAATGTATTTTTAATAAATGAGATTACATCATCTAATTAGTGAGTTCAGTATTGCATCCCTAGTTACAGCATGTAATTGAACCATTCAATACTACAAAGGAAGAAATAATATATGACTAAACTGGCACATTAGTTCCATAACTTATATTTTTCTAGCTAAAACAGAACAGTAAATCCTCTGCATAAAAAAAGAACAGAATAGAGCAAAAAGAACAACCAGTTCCCAACATCACTGGAATCACAAGATGCCCACTAATCATGACTACAATGGTGGGCAATATAGATACAAAGCCAATCCATTCTCTCTCCCAGGGGATTCCGTTATTCTTACATTATTCTGCAAGAAATGCCTTGCAGCAGGTAAAGTAGAGGGAGCTCCTGAGTTTTGAAATCACACAGTGGGCTGCTTCTATCCATTGTCCGGGGGCACGATGGCTCAGCGCTTAAAGATGCTGAGCTTGTCAACTGGAAAGCTGACAGCCCAGGTTCGGGACCTCAGCACTACACAATGGGTGACTTGTCATTATTTGCCCCAGCTCCTGCCCACCTAGCAGTTTGAAAGCATGCAAATGCGAGTAGATAAATAGGTACTTCAGTGGGAAGGTAACAACGTTCCGTGAGCCTTGGCATGTAGTCATGATGGCCACATGACCACAGAAGCGCCTTCAGGCGATGCTGGCTTTCTTGGCTAAGAAACAGGGATGAGCACTGCCCCCTAGAGTCAAACACCACCGGACAAGGGAAACCTTTACCTTTATCTATTGTCAGAACTAAGAGAAGAGATACTATGAAGCATTTGTATTCCTTTAGAGAGACTGCAGAAAATGCTGTAACCTGGAGATACAACTTGCTTATTACACACATGGATTCTTAGATTTATAATGTTCTGTGAGGCAGAAAAGTTATTATGAGCATAATTTATATAATCTTTCCAGATCTGATAAAAATATGATTCATTCCTTTGAAAAGTCATTGTTTGAATTTTATTAGTTTTTCCATAAGAGAAACTTAGCGTGCTTTTGCATACCAGTTATTCATTGAGAAGTTGCCTAGAATTGAGCAATTCTCAATTTTGTAGCCAGGAGTAAGAATGTTTCTGCTTAGTTTACAACTATCTCCCTGGTAAAAGGTAAAAGTAAAGGGTTCCCTTGTCCACTCATCGCTGACTCTAGGGGGTGGTGCTCCTCTCCATTTTCTAGCCAAGGGAATTAGCATTGTCAGAAAACGCTTCCATGGTCATGTGGCCAGCATGACTATACACTGAGGTGCATGGAATACTGTTACTTTCCCACCAAAGTGGTACCTATTTATCTACTTGCATAGGCATGCTTTTGAACTGCTCAGTTGGCAGGAGCTGGGGCAAGAACCGCAGCTCGCACCGTCATGCAGTGCTTGGGTCTTAAACTGTCAACCTCCTGGTCAACAGTTTTGAGACCCAAGTATCAGGTGACAAGATAAACTGCCATCCTTGCCCCAGCCACCTGCCCACCTAGCAGTTCTAGGTAATAACCCCATTTCCAGAATACCTTCTACTTTTGCTTAGTTGCTCTTCTGACCTCTTTGAATGTTGTCCTCCACTAAGGTACCACTTTCACAAGTCCTCCACATATGAAAAAAATGTTCCCTTCTGATTGCAACCCCTCCAGCATTTGATGAAGGTTCTTAAAATATCATAGTGGAAAAGGGGAGGAAAAGTACTGTTTCCCCAAAGTAGGTTTGGGGATTGGGATCCCTTCCCCAGCATTCCTGCCTCCAGGGGATGGGCTCATAGAGCCGAGGTGGCTCAGTGGTTAGGGTGCAGTACTGCAGGCCACTTCAGCTGACTGTTATCTGCAGTTCAGCGGTTCAAATCTCACCGGCTCAAGGTTGACTCAGCCTTCCAT